ATCCAGATGTTAAAGCAACTTATTCAGCCATCATTAATGCTATCTTCTCTGTCAACACTTTTTTGCTGAGATCTGTCGATGCAACCTGCTGTTTGGTGAGTGCACAGGGTGTGTTTATATCAGCAATATGTTTGAAGGAGGTTCACAGACTAGTATTATCCAAACCACTTATTTAACAGTAGAGGCAAAATGACCCATTATTGTGATGCCCCCAGCTGTTTGACTTCATCCTTCGTTTGATTTTGAGATTGAATTCAGCCTCAAACTCATCCCAATGCATTAACTGTAGTTATCCACAAACAGTTTTGTTATTTCATTATTAATTATTATAAACAGAGGCTTTTTCAACTTTAGATCTCACTTCTGAGAAGGTGGTTAAGGTGGTTAAGGCTTGATTGATCAAACTGAAGGCTTGATTCAAGTTGTTTCATCTTGTTCTAAATTATAGTTATAGGAATGATGACCATAACTACAAATGCTCCAAAATCTGAACTCTACTTTAATTGGAATTATTTATTCAAATGACATGTCAAAGCTGTGGCTTTAAAATATCTAACCACTAAATCAGAGCCACTCCCCCAACATTTAGAGATGCACTGCTTCACTTATTATGCAGAGTGAGAGAGAGAGAGTTGGGGAGAGTAGCACAGCCATAGTTGTCATGATTATCCAACTTCCTTTTTCTGTTATTCTCCCTGGCTGCTTGAGGCTGTCTACAAAATAGGGCCAGTCCCCACAAAACTTTACAAAAGAATACAAAAATTGAGAGTCTGGTACAAAAAACAGTTTTGGTCTCTAAGCCTTATTTTTCTACTCATGACAATTGTACAGGTTGTGAATTTTATAACTTACTCATTAAAATGACTTGACATTGACATTCTGGTTATGCATACTAATGGCTTTAGTAACAGGAGGATGAGACTAGCTGTCTGCTAAATGCCAACAAAGTCAATAATTTAGTCAATTAATCTAACCTCAAACATCTTAATTTGTTTATGTTGTTGATGTCTTTGTGGCTTTTCACGTTATGGCTTGCTGTGTGTTTTATTTTACTGAATCTAAGAATTATGGAGCTGTCTTTGGTGTAAAGCTATTTTCAAATGGCAAAAAATGTCCACTAATGAATATACAGATGTGTGTAGAAATCCACAAAGACATACAAATATGTAAACAGGTCTACAAAGCTATTTACCTTGTTGCTTTTTAGCCTCTATTCATGTGTATCGCAAGCGGCTGATTCTTTGCACAAAGCATGCTAGGATGCCTTGTGAAAATCTAAGAGGCTAGCCTCTTTTAACAGCTTTTCTGCCTCATTATGTCATGAACATGCTTTAAAGAAAACTGTGGTATATTTTTTAGTATAATATAAACAAATATAAACAATTTGGGTTGCTGGTTTTAAGGAAATGACTCCTCAAGTCAACAAAAGTGACCAGCGAGACTGCAAACAAACCCTTGTCACAGACAATTGTGGATCCAAATACACCATTTGTGGATGTTGTATGGCACAAGTCTTGCAAAAGTCACAGGTAAACAGACAGCCAATCGAGAGGCCCTCCTCAACTGCAACTGATGACTCCAATGTATTTTCAACTCTTAGCTAAGACTTTTCAGTTATTAATTATGAAGACATTTAAAATGGCTCTACATGTTTGCAGAAAGAGGTACACATTTCTGAATCCGTGTATGCATTTGTGGATTTTTGTATATATTTTGGATCTTCATGTATTTTTGGATCTGTGTACATAGTTGTGGATCTGCAGATCTGTGCATGCATTTGTTGATATTTGTATGCTTTTTAACTTCTTTTTCTTAATTTAAGCTCCATAAAGAAGTCTGTGCTCCATTTGTTCTGCAAGTGGAAATCTACTTTTATGTTCACACTAATAAGCAGGTATCTGAGTCAGTGCTTAACCTGACATGTTAGTTTGTTAAGTGTTTGCCAGTGCGAAGGAGTTACATTTGTTGTTGGCAAGCCTAAGTGATGAAAATACCTTTTAGTTCTCCAGAAGGGCTATTCTGTCCACTGGTTGTTCTCCCTCCATAGATTCAAAATCAAGCAGCCAGACCACTACTTTCCACAAACTCCTCTCAGGCCCAGCTTCTCAACTTTACTAAACAAACAGCGCTGTTCAGCAACAACCATGGACAGGATTTCATTCTGATAACTAGCTCTTTTGCCACCAAATGAATTAGCCGCAGGGAAAGTCTGTATTGGCCTGTGTAACCTCTCACCCATCTCCAACCACAACCCCCCATCCTAAAATTGTAGCTTATGGCTACAGAAAAACAAAACGGTGGTGACCGAAGGTCAAACTAAAGGTCTAATAAAGGCCTTAAAAAGTTTTCAAACCGGTGGTTGTTGTCACAGTGGATAGTTCCATCATCTGTCTAGTTGGCCTGTTTTGAGACATTCTTTGTTAGACTGTGTTGTAATGGACTGAAGCATATGAAGCTATATCATCTTAAACAGTGGTTGTGCTTGGTTTTAAAGGGCCAGGTTCGGTAAGTGTTTCTTCTTATTACACTTTCGACAGCCTGAATTAATCTTCTGCTTGGCTGAATGTGCTTAAAAAATGCAGATTGTGAGGAAATTTAACCACTGAGTGTGTTCCAATCTCAGTGCAATCATTGTTGTTTCATCAGCCTCACCCAACACTGCAGCTGTCCTGGCATATCTGTGTGTTCATTCAAATGACACCTCCAAGAACAAGATAAATTAGAGACCTTCCCAAGTTATTTCTCCTTTAAATAGTCTGTCAGCTTTCCCCCCTCCTTTCAGCAGAACAGATCCAGAAGTTAATTTAAACATTCTTTAAGATTAATGAAAGTGGGTTTTGGTGCTTATGCAGTAGGAGTTCTATTTATGGACTCTCCGCTATCCATCATCGGCATTATCCCTTGAATTCTCAGACAGCCTGTTTCCTTTTGTGTCACTAAAAATATAGGCAATGCCAAAAAGAGATTCGTTCCCCAGTACCATCTCTACCTCTTCAGCGAGGCAGTCAATTAATACACAGTAATGAGAGCCTGGGCTGGAACAGAAAGTGACTGGATGACTGAATGCTTGGAGCAGTTGGATCTATAGTCTGATCTATAGTTCATCTTATTATATTTTAAATTCACCTTAAAGCAGCCAGACATTTGAGGACACGTGTGGATTATGTTCTTCAGTTTCATTGAGATAGAGAATACTTTTATCCTGCATCACCCTTAAGTCTTCATAGTCATTTAGCTTTGATTACAATTTGTAGTTCCAGAGGATGCTCTACAATTATTGTTGTACTACATGGTGTCCATCAAGAGTATAGAAGCATTATGGATATGACATTTAACAGCGAAAGCCTAGGAAAATAATTGTACCAACCCATAGGAGAAAAAATAGGTAATATTACCTAAAAATAACCATGATGCTAAGTTAGTGTCACAGTTTCATAGCAGCTTTTCTGCACTGTGAAAGTGTACATGCTAACCTCCCACTTCATTCATTGGTACTGTGCAGCTAATTCAATTTATAAATCAAAACATAAATTCAGAGCAAGTAATCAATAATCAAAGTGAACACATTTTCCCGAGAACTTCTCTTACTTTTGGTGGAGTGCATTAGAAAGTAAATGCAAGACTAATTGCAGAGAGAGGACATAGGGCTAATACGTTGTCTTCAATTCTGTGCACAGGCTTCTGCAGTTTGGTTTGACCATGTGTCTGAGAAGTATGGGAAGTGGTGCACCAAGTATACATTTAGAAGGTCAGAAGATGATAGAAAAACAGACATGGGCTGGTTTGGGATAGAGTCAAATTCACTTGATGTATGCATTTGCTCCCCACCCGCATGGCACAAAACATAGCACATAGCAATTTCCCATTTCCCCAAGAACTCCAAACTTGTGGGCAGAGGTGACCAGCATGGAGACAAAGACATATGTTAGCCTGTGGGCTGTGCCTGCAGTGAAGCACCAAGGGTTATGGAAAACAAAACCTGACATTACAGCCTTACTGTAATACAAGAGAGAAAGAGTGGCATGTTTGCATCCCGAAAAGTCTTACTTAAATCAAACTTAATTAGCTTGAATATTAAAATTGTCTCGCATTAAAGTCAAGTTTAAGTAAAGTGTTTAGTTGCACTGAACGGAAATGAGGACATGAGAGAGGTTTTGTCTCTGCAGTGAAAATGCATATCTATATAAATGATGTAAATCTTGAATACAAGCTGCTCCTCCTCTTCTTGACAGAAGATAGAGAAAGGAGCCCCCATGTGGACAACAAAGTAACTACCTTATTTAACCAGTATCAAAAAATAGGAAACCAGATACAAGATTCGCAAGCACATCATGTTGGCTTTGTTGTCTTCCGAAGGTGCCACTCACAGGGTGCACACAAACAAATTGAACACAGTGTTCTGCATTGCATTCAGGCCTAATCTTGCTTTTCAACACCAAAAGCATGGTATAAACGCTTTATTACCAATCTCTGCAGTCTGAACTGGCCTACAAACATACCTGACAAATCTGTTATTTAAGTTCCAAAGCTGCACTTTCTCCCAATGGTAAATAGATTGTATAAAAAATAATTTAAACTCCCCTCACTTCCGATTCATTTCTTGGTTAACATTGGCCATCTGATTTGATATGTGCTGTGTTCTGTTTATGCCTGCGTATGTCTTATGTGTGTGCTAATGTCATATAAAGTATCAGTATCTCTGTCTCCATTATAGGCCTCATGGGCTCTATGTACAAGCCGTTTGATAAGGGCTTTGACTGCCTTGCTAGGAGACATTTATCGTATACTTGAGAGGCTTCAATCTCTGCTCTCAAAGCTAATGCTAAAAGGCACTTAGGCACCTTCATGAAATGGCATCATGTGCAAGTCCTTTGCTTGATGCATTATTCTCTGGTCAAACAATTGAATTGTCTAAACAACGTAATGAAAACGACTCACAACAGTGTGTTTTATATGTAGCATGTAGAAGGTGTATGCTCTTCTTCACACACAGTACTGACCTGTCTATTGGTCCGTCTGATCCCAAGTACCTCGGCCCGGAGCCGTTGTCGAGGGATGACTGTCTGTGCAGGTGCCCACCGTGAGGTCTGCTTCTGTCTGACGCTGGTGTCAAGTCCCCTGAGGCTCCCTGGTAGGGGTACAGGGACGGGTCCTGCAGTTTGGCCTTCTTCCCCTGCGGCCCACCCTCAAACACACCCCGCACCTGACCAGGCCCCGAGCCATAGAACCATGCCCCCGATTTGGTGAGGATTTCTTGTTGTTTTCGGCACAAGTTGCATACCCACATAACCTGCAGGAAAGGAAAGGGAGCATTAATAGTTTGGAATGGTGATTGACAGGTAGGTTGTCTTGTTGTATAATCTATGATGAACTGTAATGAAGTGATTTGAGTGTTTATTTTAGGTAAAGGTGCAACATAACTGTGAGGCATATTGCTGTAACTGGGTGAAAATCGTCTTTACATCCATATAATTTTTGAAAAAGAGATGAAACTTTAAGAGAAGTCAAAAATAACTTTGACTTCTGTATTTTCAGCCCACAGCAACAATATTATTAAATACTAATGACAATTCATGTAGATGAAGCGAATGATGAAATATGTTACACATTCAGCAGCCTCTAATCATATTTAAAGGTAAAGTCATATGAGGTCAGTTTGTTCTTTTGAGTCTGTGAGTCTTAATAACCCCTGTAGATTTCAAAGACTGTAGGTTTGCTTGCATCTTTTATTGCACTACATTACATATAAACTCTTGTTTCTGTTTAGAAAACTGCAGCTGCCAATATGACGAATGATTGCAGAGACTACTCACATCTTAATGAAGGTGCTCCTCGGTTAGATAAATGGAAAAGCCCAGCTACATTTGCCTTCTGTTATACTCTACAAGAAGTGGAGAGATGGAGGTTTTTACTGCTGAGTGATGTATAGAGTTTCTCTGCTCTATACTGCAGCCCCAGCAGCAAGCTCACCACATTAGCCTAATAAATCTACCAACAGACAGGAGCGCTGATCACTAAACACACACATGTTCAAAGACATGCACACACACTACAAGGTAAAGCTCAACATCCTGGCTCAAGTCACCCTGTAGGGAAAATATGTATGTTTTTTTGTAAAGCTACATTACTTGATATCAGGTACAGTGAAATATTACTCCGACTCATCCGTCTCTTTATTGGGTCTTTTTACCTTTTCATAACATGATATTTGATTTGATACATTCTGTACATACAATGTGCACTGTTGCACATTTTTCTGCTCACTTTTAGTTGCTCTGTTAATGATATGTGTCTCCTGCTGTGCAGAGAATTGTGGATCAGAACAGTTAGAAATGTATACCAGCATGCATGATGTCAAATTAAGTGGATGACAATATCTTCCTTGTATTTTTGTACTACAATCGACATATATGCATTTGGACTTACTAAATCTTTCTTGCATACTTAACAGTTTGGTTTAGTTTTGTACAGGGGGCCATGCACAACACAACTATTGGGCCAGAGTTAGCTATGAAGCTAATTTACATCTGTGGTCCCTGGGCAGATTTAAAGCACAAACATTACAATACAAACTATTCTAATTGATAAACAATAAATAAGAAGAACACAACTTTACAAACAGTATATCACTTAAGTAGTAATAGTATGGAAGTACTGGTATTGGAGCACACCCTAAGTGCGCCTGAGAAAAATAGGGACTTGCAAAATGATTGACAGGCCAGACAGCCTCAAGAGCTACTGCAGCCCCCCACCCCCCATCACACCCCCCACCTTTACAGTCCCAGTGCTGAGTCAGTGCATTACTGTTATTAGTGTGAGGGAGCTCTGGATGCTGCCTTGCCAACCACCAGTGAGTCTTTTGCTTGCCACTGAAAAAAATAAATACTGACTGATATGTTAGTTCTAGATTAATGGAACCCACTTAAACCTCGTTGGTCCACACAGTTACTGGGGTGCAGCAGTTCAGAGGTTGGATTAGAAGCTCAGGCCTAAACCACAGCTTCTTCTCTCATAGGTGGATGGCCCAAAGCAAAGGGTGATAGTGTTTTAAGAAAAACAAGTCCAATTATACAACTCAAGATAGAGTCCCCAACCCCAAGTGGGGAAAGAAAACTGTCATTTGTAATCACAAGTAACCATAAGTACAGTCTTTTACACGTGAAACACACAGAAAACACAGATTCAGAGCTTACTACTTGAGCTGGTTTGTGACAGATGAGGGTGTTAATTACAACTCACACTGCCATAACAAAATACAGAAGGAAGAGGTTCCAGCAACAATTCAGCAAAAAGAGATTGAAGTTTGCGAAGCAACAAAAACTATAGAAATGCATGTTTTTGCAACAGACATTGCAAAGGTAACATTTCTGGTTATTACTGCATATAGCACTATTTAGAGAATCAGGGCAGTGATTTCTGTGCTTTAATCATGTGTATTAAAAGTGTGTAATTATCACACACAGGAAAAGTAGCCTCCTTCAACCAGCACTTGTGGATGTGGGCAACAATCTTACTAAAAAGCCTTTATTAATTACTTTAGTTACTTTTAAATGTAGTGCAAAACAGTCACATCAGGCAACATGAACTAGCCTATGTGACATTGACACGAGGCCTTTATGAACAGCTTTCAATACATATAAACTATATTTAGGGACACACAATGAAAGCAAGGAGGCTACAAATGTTGCTTCATGTGTCCCTATGGAGGGCTGATATGACTGACACTTTAACTGGGGTCATGGTGAGAGCTCAACACTGAACTATGAGTCATCAGGTAAGACCTGGGAGCAACCAAGGTTAGTTTCCTGCTAATCAACCACTAACTCTTCATGCACTTGGAAGTTACACACATGTGCATACTCACACATGCACGAGCATGCACACAAGCTGCAACTAAAATTAATCTGAAAAATAATCTCAATGTGGAATCAAAAAGAGCTTTAGGAACAGTAGTCAAAGATGTGCCAGAGTGTGTCTGCCCCTCCAGTAGTTTAGACAGTGGTCCAAAACCAAATGTTACTAGCAGTTATATTTACTTAAGCAGGGAGTGTATGTGAAATAAAGCATTCCATGAAGTAGGTAATCCCTTCATAGAAATGATTCAAAATGGACGGATTAAAAAAAATAGTTTACCATATTTACCTTCAATTGCCTTGCATAAAAAACAAATGAACACTTTCATTGCAACCAAGCACTCACATTATCATGAATTTAAACAGTGAAGCAAAGTTGGCTTTACTTTAATAAATAAAAACAGGAAGTTGAGCTGTTGCTCTACACATAGTTTGTGAAAAAATAATGAGTCATACAAGTGACAGGGAATGGTGCGCAATTGTAAAACAAAGATTTAAGTGGTTGGGCATTGAGATGGTGGATGGGCACTTACAGGAAACTTCAAATACCCATACAAATCTGGGATCAGTTCCTAAATCAGTAATACAGGATTCCTAACTGAGGTTTATTTCAACAAGATTTTCCTATTTCTTGACAAAAGAATGAACCCTTATCCAATCTGTGTCCATAATATTATAAATAATACAACGGTTAGGTTGAGAGAGCCTATGCCTATTGTATTTGCATGTGCATGTTTTCAGTCACTATGTATACTAAATAATAGAATGTAGCATGCATTTTGAATTGTAATCTTTATTAATAGGACACATTATAAATCACCTGTGGTTAATTACTCATTCTGTCCCTGGCTTTTGCCAGCCCAGTTCCCTTACAGAAAACTGCCCCTATGACCTACATATTTACCTCTCCAAAGCGCAATTAACATAGAGTCAGTCTCTCTGCACCTCCAAAGATTGCCAATAATAATTAACCACGCTCTCAGCCCTTGGACTCTGCTGAGCTCTTTTATCTCATCAGTGAATACCTAATAGCATATTAGCATTCAAAAACAGCCCAACAATCATGTGCATGGGTCCTGTAAATGTTGAGCAGACTGAGACTTAAACATCAATACTTTGATTCAATTTGCAGTTTGGAACAGAGTCAAAATGATAAAGTGATATTTACACAGTAAATGAGGCAAGAAACCAAAATAATGAAAATGGCACTGGTATGAAACTTCATTTGTCCTAAACATTATGTTCTACAAAATAAAAACAATATTCTTTTGGGCTTGATGAAAGTGCATTTTGAGATTATCAAAAGGAATTAAAAGGCCACAATGGGCTAAGAGGTTATGTAGTTGTATCTACTCATAGAAAAGCATGCAGAAAATGAGCTATAGCCTAAGCTCTCCAATCTCTCAGATATTGAAATAACTCAACTGAATCTAGTCATACTGTATTACAGCTCCAGATGCATGACAGCAACAGAACCTTTTTTATTTCATTAGTAACATTGGCAGAGAAATCACACCGCATGAAGCTGAGCGTCCATCAAGGGAGGCAGCCCAAAGACAGTGTGAGGACAGCCCACACCAAACTGTATCTCTCATTGTTGTGAACCATGTATACAGATACTCAACAAATACATGTATGCAAGAAAATCAGCTATAACAGACAAAGGTATGTACACTCCCACTGCAGCCATTGTGCCAACGATTTTCCAAATACACACACACACACACACACACACACACACACACACACACACACACACACACACACACACACACACACACACACACACACACACACACACACACACAGAAACACACACAGAAACACACTTCCCTTCGGCTTAACCGTTCTCAGCTGAGCACAGGCAGGGGGTTGGGGGCTGCAGCCCTCAGGCAGGGCCATTTCTTCCTGTGTTTGCACATTTTATAGTCATTGAACCTGCAGCTAAAAATAGAAAGCTAAAAACCTGACACAACCACAGCAGGAAGATGTATACTCTATTAAATGTGCTATAGGCTATTTACTAAGAAACAGCATTAAGGGAGACAAACATCCGGGGCCATGCGATCAATAAATAATATATTTTCTAATACTTTCCTTTCAGACTGAGGGTTTTATGTTATTCCAACTTAAATCATCTTCTGGAAAAAAATGTTGTGCCAAGAAGAGTAAGAATGGCAAAAAAGGCTACACCTATGCCACTGAAGGACAAACATTGAGAGAAAACATCCATGTAACCAAACTGTGCCATGTGGCCCAGGTCATAGAGACCCTGTGATTTTGGTTTGGCGTTGAATAGTCCTACAATATATCTAGCACACACATTGTATAAAAGGTTACATGCATCCTACAGCGATATACTCTACTTTTCTTGCCCCATTCAAAAAGTCCCAGTGGGAACATATATATATATATATATATATATATATATATATATATATAAATATAAATGCAATCCAGTTGGATTTGCACTGAGCTCTCTCTTGTGGCCATTGAACTGCACTACAACATTACTTAACAAAGGCTCTAGAGTGAATCAGCAGTATCCTTTCGGGCACACCACAGTGTGTTTACATGGAAAGTCAGCTCCAAAATATATCAAAGTTATATTTAATTAAAGAACAACTTCAATTCATTCATTCTGAACTCAATCCTTCACAAAAGTATCTATAGTTCAATTGCCACATATTTTTGTCCTTATTTCAAATGAGACTGTTAAGAGAGGGCTTTTTTGGTTGGTTATCAATTTTGCCACATATGTTTTATTTCATAGGTAAAAGAAATGTAGCAACCTAGATCTGAGATGTAAAAAAAAAAATGGTAGAAATATTGATAAGACATGACGCATGCTGCAAAATTGATGTGGCAACCAGCCATGGGGATCCGATTACTTTGGTGTTTCACTCCTTTACCTGAACTGATGTGAACTAAACCTCATTAAAGACTCATGGTTAGTGGAATGGTGTGTTTCTCAGAACATCCCTGTCTGGACTGGATCCTGTTCACAATCGAATACACTGCAGAGCAAATCATTGCCACAACTGGAGGATGCACAAGTGTGTTCAGCTGCAATGACAGACTATGTGCATATGTAGGTCAATGGCTGCTGCATATTATGACAAGTGAAAATATTTTTGAAAAAGGGGATGGATCTCGTTACGAACGTGACTGTTCCTTTACAGATTCTTCCACGAGCTTCATTTTTTACGTAAATGTTGCACAGTGTAATAACCCCATTTCAAATGGATTGGGATTCTTTTTCTTTTTGATTTACTTGTTGTTGTTTCTGCCCAGTGGAAGTAGAACGTGAAATAGGGCATTTGAGTCAGTTGTTCAGAATAAAAAGTTTACAGGGCATTTTGCTGTGATTCAGTTGTGCGTCTACATTCACATGCTTCAACGCTGGCTACACGTGGTGAATCATATTTTAACGAGCTTCTAATTTTAGTGTTCGCGCCACTAACAATAATAGACTTAATGAATATTAATGTCCTTGTTTGAAGTTCAGAGACGTGGGGGAGACGAGGGAAATACAGTAGGAAAACAAAAACGCGGCGTTATGGACAAATAGTGTCGGAGCAACATCCCCCTCAGCTTGCTCTCTCAGACATCCAAAAACGCCTTTACATTTTGAACAGACATGACGCGCGCTCAATAACACAACATACAGTATACCTTACTATTTGGAAGCTATACTTAATGTAGGTAAAATGCTGCAATGAAGGTTTAGGGCGTATGTGTGTGATTTTCTGAGCGGAATTCCAGCTGTACATTTTGCCCGTAAATGGTCCCATATCTGCAAGCAATATGACCGGTGAAAAAAACGCGATGCAGTCAAAGCCTCATACTCTCTCAGCTTACCCATGGTGCCACTGAGGGAAAACACTGTCCCTGCGCAGAATGATCACCGTGTTTAAGTCCTGGTAATGAGGTGGCGACTGTCCGCTGCTGCTGCTTGCTCTTGATAATGAAGAAACTGCCGACCTTCAGCACCGCGGACAGCTCCAAGTCCAGACAACAGACTGACTGCCGGACAGCGGCTGCTGAAAACACCGTGAAGGTTACACCGGGGACTCAACTGACCACATCCGATCCATCAAACCAACGCGCTTTTCCGCTCTGCTTCTCTCAACTAAGCAATCACCCAAAGATGCCCGTCCATTTAGAAGAATGACGGATTCCAATCTTGAATCGTCACACTGGATCCATTAAACCGTGCAAACAATTCCGTACTCAATGTCAGTAGGTCTTAGGGGAGAGAACATGTGAGCCGAGCAAGAACGCATCAAATCACGTTATGTGTCCCAGCACCGCTGTATTAGTTCATCTGTGATAGAGAGTGAGCGCTGTGCCGGAGTTGATAGGACCTCATTACATATGCGGCGCGTCCAGGCTCTGCTCCAACAGTCTAATAGACAGACAGAAAAACGCGGTTACGCAAAAGAAAAAAAAAACCGGACTAATACTGCTTCTTCTCTGTGTCACCGTTAACAAGCATACCAAGTCACAGCCTGTGCTGTGACCAAAAAAAAGAGAGGAAAAAAAGAGAGCTGCTGTCGTCGCCACCGTTATGCAGGCCCATTTCTCTTCTTGTCTGCAGGAATATGAAGTCAGAGGTTGCAAAATATGAACGTGAGGATGTCAGAAACTATGCTGCGTTCACTTACTGTGGGAAAAATACCCTTTAGAGGTCTGTTCTGACTTATTAAAAATGGAAGGCTGGGATTTTCATTCGATGGTTTTAGCTTTTTAATCCCTAACAAACATGTATTCATAAAATCGTGTTATTAATTAGATTTATATTTATTTATATTTATATGAATGTCTATACTGCTGCTTCCTATAGGCCTTTATACTAAATAAAGACAACATTAATAGATGGGGCGGTATCATTTTCAGACCATACCCTAACCTTAAAATGAAAATTGCCCTTTGGATAAGCCTATGCCTGTCATCTTTTCCATATGCTGCATTCTGTCCAGTTTCAGGGAAAATAAAGTTTACAATGTATCATGATTAGCCCCCCTGTAAGTGTCCTTTTCATTTTATTTGTGAAGATGCAGAGATACAGAAACGACTTTTGTATCCAGTATATCCACCTGCACGATACAGTGCTGAGAATGTTTTTCTTCCATCATTTTTTCATAATGTTTTGTTTTTTAACTCATTAGAACTCATCTTTCTAACTTACTGTTAACCCTCTCTGTGTTCATTTTAAGGAATTCCCACAATGCATGCAGTTAATAGCTCAAACATTACCTATACACACAAGTAGCCTATAATTAAGACATGTTTAAACAAATTAGTAACATGATGTTTCTATACAGACAATGGTTATAAAGTGAAGTTTGGAATATACATGTCCAATGGATTAAAGGTGGTGGAGTGTATGTCCACATGGTATCCTTGAATGCTGATAATGATCTGGGGTGCTGAGAGACTCAAAACTTATTTAATTTAATAAATATGATATTGATTTTTTTTTTTTTTTATCACTTTATTATCAGTAATGCTGAGGGGCCAGGAAGCAGATTTTATATCTTCAAGTGTAGCTTTAATCACAAATGACTTCCTCGCTGGAGACTGTGGATTCCTCAGGCCCCTTTGAAGCTATATCACAGGAAATGGTGGGGAGCTCTTCTGCTACCACAAGGGATTCCAAAGGCCATCACAAGGCTGACACAATTTATCTTTATCAAAAGCGTTTTACTGTTTAACCCCCAAATGAACAAGCATTCTTCAAGTATCTACTTTGTGACCTAGCATAATGAGAAGGGATCAAACAATATATATTTACTTCTCCACTCTGACCCACACTAATGAAAAAGTATTCATGAATATTATATTCAAGTTATACCAACAACTACGTCAAAGGACACTGATTTTAACTCTACATTACGCCTTTACATGTTGGTCCCTCTTTATTCATTCCAACTAACTGGGCTCTCCAAGCCACCCCAGACACAGGGAGTTGTAAATATTCAATGGTGTTTCTCAGAACAAGATCTCTCTCGCCACTGCTGTCACCATCTGTGAGAGAGGGAAAGAGTAGACGGATGGAAAAAGGGCAGATTTCACCACCGCCACTTCTTTCACTGACACACAAGCTTTCAAATGAGCTGACAGGGTTTACCAAAATGTTGTCTGTACGAGAGTAATCAAAACTTGCAACTCCAAGCATGAACACACAACATTATCTGCAATCAATATTGCAATAGTCCTGGAGGTCTATTGTGTATGTGGTACAACAAATCTTACTCAAATGTAGTTTTCTATATTGGCTATACACAGTTAGCATAAAACAACATTCACAAGCCAAACCAGCCTTCTGATGTTCTACCATAGGTTCTAATATGGGTCGTCATGTGTCCAATAGTAGAACGTCATTGAGTGTCATGATAAACATTTCAATTATGTGTTGGTCTCACATGAAATGAAAATTGATTGTATAATAATTGATTGCCATAATTATCTATTTTAACATGCACTTTACCCAATGGAAGAATCTATTCATCTGGTCAGAGCTCAACATAAACGGTAAATGGACTTGAGCTTATATAGCGCTTTTCTAGTCTTCCGACTATTCAAAGCGCATATCACACCCACCCATTCACACACTGATGGTAGTGATCTCTATGTAGTATCATCCATCAGAAGTAACTAATCCCATTCATACACCACCACTGAATCAGCGGGAGCAATTCAGGGTTAAGTGTCTTGCCCAAGGACACAACGGACATGTTGCTCAGCTGGGGATCAAACCCTCGACCTTCAGGTTGAGAAGTGATGACTCTATCAACTGAGCCACATCCGCCCTAACCTTGTTCAAATATTTGAAGCCTTTATCCTGACCTTGTTTTCTCCTAATAGCCCCCATCAGACCAGAGAAGCTGGACTCTATTAGTAGATACATAGATAATATGTTTAAGAGGAGGACTGGCGGTCTAAGGCACCTCTTTAGACACTAATGTCCTCACCATATCTTCTGCTCAATTAAATAATCTTTGAATTTGCTCCCCCTGCTGATGACAAACATATGTATATGCTATTTCTTAGATTTTACCTCTCTCTGCAGGCACATCTGCAAAAATATTGGCAAACTGGCAGCATGTTTGAGCTCAGAGATAGTGGTAATACTAAGCGCTGATAAAAAAAAAAAGGCCACATATGCTCCTTTGAGCTGAAGGTTTAATTTTCTAGAAAAAAAACAGCTAAAAATATCTCTTCACTTATGGCTATATTGATGCATTTCACATTTTTTACCATGATGACAAAGTGGGTGTAAAAGTATATGCTATTACACTAACCATGGCAATCTATAATTTTTTTTAAGTTGAATTAGTTTTTCTTTGAGTTTCCTTTCTTGCATTAAAAGTGTTAAACAATGAAGTTTATCAATACAATGAATAAGATTAATGTCCCTGCTTCTTTCTTGAATGTCTTCGATTATTTGAGTAAACTTTTACTCTTTATATCTGGCAATGCAGTTGACATTAGAGATGGAGAATTAACCCTAACTGCACAGGGGACAAGGCGCCAGCAGCTAAATAGTAGACATGGCCTCAATGGATCACGATCACGATATGACGATCCATCACCAACCTGCTGCCACTGTTATTGCTCAACACCATCTGTACAACACAGTAACTGATCTTCCAGCTATTGTCTAGCAGTGAACCATGGTAGCCTGTACAACTGTGGTCTTGGCAGTGAAGGAGGCAGGGCAGAGGTATGTCCTATTGGTTCTGGTTCTCCCTGTTAGGATTAAACTTGCAGATCTACATTCCTTCAGTGTGGTCTTTAGACTCTTTATTTACTGTTTTGCAATCACCAGAGATAAAACAGCTATGGGAAATCTACGTTTAATGTGGACAAAGACAATGATATGACCCCTGTGATGTGTCCATCTGGCTGTCCCTGTGTGACTATATTTGTTTTAATTATGTGCTTAGTTATAGATAATCCCTAGGGCTGTTTAATGCAATCAGACATTATAGCTTTCTCTTTCTGATATATGTTGTTCTACCCTTCATAACATGTAAAACTGCATGTTAGTATTGAATTGGGATAGTTTGGACCTGGTATGTAATTTCACATTGATCTTTTTTTATTCAATAATCTGTTTAGAAAAGCTTTTTACCCTCAGCTGGCTGTTGGTGTAACTAGTATAAGAAACAAACAATTGAAACATGGTATAATGATAAAATCCTAAATTACATTACAGCCTATTCATTTAAAAGAAGGTCCATTAGTACAGCATTGAACAATTTTTTTTATGTAACACACATTTTACCACCTCTACCTGGTAATTATCCATATTTATCATTACAAAATTAAAAAACGTTCTGTTAAAATTGTGACGTCTCAAAAATAAATCTATATAAATGGGACAAGATTATCAGGGTTTTTTTTCAAGCTTTGTTGAGCTATATCTTGAGTCAGAGAGAATATAATGTTTGCACAGCCTGGGCAGCACTAGTTGTTAACTGTCAATTCAACTTCATTCATAAAATATGAGGGGTGCAGATGGTCTAGCAAAGGCTGTAGTCCTCACGCAGGAGGCCCAGGTTTGAGTCTGGCCTGTGGCTCCCTGCCTGCCTTTTATTCCCCACTTTCTCTCTGGTTTCCTATCAGGGATTAATAAAGTATATCAAAACATCTACTGTCCTATAAAATAAAGGCAAAAAGCCCAAAAAGAAATATTGAAAAATGTTGTATCCCAATGACAATATATCTTATATAACCTTATTAAAAACAGTATTTTTCACTCAACAGCATTTCATGGTAGACTCACAGACAAGACTAATCATATTTTTTGTTGTTTTCAAGTCATTATTGGCTGCTGTATGTGTTTATTTATAAATGTCACAGCATTTCATGAACAATGCTTGAGTAAAGACATAGTCCAAATAAATTCAGAAAAGGTTTGCTAACCACTTTGTCCTCCTGTTGCAATTCCATGAGAGCAGGAATGCAGCAGAAAGAATGACAGTAAGAGGGAGAAAGGAAAGAAAGAAAGGGGGCAGAAAAGATAGAGAGATTGAGAGTGGCATTAGTAGGTCCTGCAGTACTGTCACATACTCCAACAGCAAATTATTGGATGGCATTGCATAAAAACACTCAGGCTCATGATTCAAATTTAAGCAGTCTAATACTAAAAGCTTTGGTTTAGTCTGTTGGGAGGATTTTACAGAGGTTAGTTAGGCACTGGAGAGCCACAGCATACAAAAGCAGCGATCAGGTTCCTTTTTGGGAAAATAAAGGAGGAACAGTTCCCTCCAGTGGTGAAATAGAACAACTGTGCGTTACAGTTCAAACACAATTGGAGTCAATGTTGATCATCTGAAAACATTAGCTGCCATAAGAGGCCCTTTTGACCTGATTCACACTTACACAGCATTTCATAAAAACTGGAATTTACATAAATACATTTGATATGTTTAAATATGTGTGTTTGTTTGTGTGTGTCCTCAAAAACAGAGAATACCTAGCATGCAAGTCAGCGTTACCTTATTTGACCGCAGAGACACTCGTCCTCCGCACCGAGCACAG